AATGGAGTAAGTATAAAAAACACAAGGAGCGAGAGAGAATATCAAGACAAGAAAGAAAATGCGGTAAAACCCAACAAAAGGGGCACCAGTATACAAGCAGAGAGCAGATGGAAAAAAATGTGTGAACCAAAAGAGTGTAAAGACGAAAAGGCGTTGTGATGTTTGGCAAGATTCTGCGGCACCTTGAAACCGTAGGCATAGGCCTATGTGTTGTACAGACAAAAGGAAACCAAACTACGCAGGGAAACCGGGAAATAACTATATTCTGATGTAACTGTGCAACCATAAGTGTTAAAGTTGTAACCAAATGGAGTAGACTAAAGACAGAAACATTGATAAACTAAGGGGAGTGATAGTTTCATTGTAAGTGTGTCTCACAGTTCTGTGGCAGTGTGCAAGCACAGGTATTGGTGTTTTAGCGAAAGATAAAAGGGAAATAATAAATGGTTAAAACACTGAAACAGGAAAGAAAATTCCCCAGTTTTTTTATCCTAAATCGTGGTCTGAGAGAAGACTTAACTGTGATTGACCGAGCTCCCAGCCAATCACAGGCGCGAAATGAACACACAAAAGAGTGGCAGTACTGAAAATAAACGGTATAGTCAATTTACGACTTTTCTGAAGTCGTACTAAAGTTCTACTTCCAAAGTATTCCTTCGCCTCAAGCAAACAAAGCTTAACCAACTGTTGAAAACTACACCAAAAGGACAGTGCGCTGAATTCGTTTGCAATGAGTGTAATAATATGTTGCATAAGAACTATTTGTTACTAGGCATAACCAACACACATATTTCCTCACCGTTTTTATTATTAATAATTATAAATGGATTATTATAATTTATAATTAAAATGTAAGTAAATGTTTAATTTAATTAAAAATAAGTTACTTTTATATTAACAGAAACATATACGCTTGTAATACTTGGCATATTTAGGAAGCAACTAAAAACGTCGTACATAAGGTAATTTTTCAAAGGTTTGATTAAAAATGTGTGGAGAATCCGCAATTAGACGCAAAAACAAGGAACTCACGAAGATTGTACCTGGAATTCAGGATCATCTAATAGAGTAGGGTAGTGGAATACAGATATGTTTGGAACAGAAACAGCGGGAAAATATAGCCACTCAAAATGAGTTAGGGTGAAGCCATTTTGTAACCGGTTCAGCCACTCGAGAGTTGTTACGGTGCGAAAAATTGCTTGGTGGGCATTTTTGCTGCTATGTCCACGAGTGGCGTCTGTAAAGCCAGTCTCCTGTACCGGCTCTGCCAGTTTACCGAGCCGTAAACATTTTTGTCACTATGACTGCGCGCTCTCTCTGGGAAGTCGAGCACTTGAGCCCTAGTGTAAACTCCAGCCAGACGTCTGACAACAACCCGAGGCGCCAGACAGACTTCCGGTGCCGATGTAAACACTTGAACTTACACGCCATTTATCTTCACGTGAGTTGGCGGCACCTGCTTCCAAAGTCTGTCCACTGCTCTGAATCACCTACTCGAATCCTCAAACATAAACTACTTCTCAATAAAGCACATTTAAAATAAAAAAATCTGTAATTTGTATGGCTCGTATAACCGATTGGACCCTAGACTAAATGCGAGGTAGACCGATCTCGCTGGCTGCGCACAACCAATCTCCGTGTCCCAACATTGAACTGCTTTTCTACCAACACGTGAAGCAAAAAGCGGCATGGCTTGGACTTTAGGTTAGAACACTTAAGTGTTAATGAGTGCTTTAAGAGTATGTATACTTTCTCTTACCATTTTGCAATGCAATTGGATTAAATTCAAATTGATGGCAATATTTTATTCATATAAAAGTGCTTGTCTTTTGAAAATTGAGATATAGGCTATTCAAGGTAAAATGAGCACTTCTGAAAGCTCTGCTTCAGATATACTTTTATGCACATTATGTATTATACCTCCTTATGTAAAATAAATTCTGTCATGGCCCTCATCACTTTATTCGTGCGTCGGTCTTTGGAATTATTGAAAAATTAAAAATTTTACAAATATGCTCTTTGTTCACTTCGATGCATAAAAAAAGTACAAAACGAAATAAATTAGTTAAGTTATTACGAATGGTTACCTAACAACTTAAATCTGATGTTAAGATATGGAACTATTTTCCATCCATATTTACCAATTTTGCTGGGTGAATATCATCCAGTGCACCCGTTAAAATATATGCACGCAGTGGGCAGTGACTTTTTTCCTAAGGTGGAGTTCAAAAGTGCTCACTTTATCTTGAGTAACCTTTATAAACCAACGCATTCATCACTGTTGAAATGCAACTTCAACGACTGTATTGCTTTGGGGTAGGTCCATGTTGGGTACATGCGCAGGAGATGAATAAGCAGTCTACCTCATCTTTAGTCTATGGATCGGACGAGACTCTAATTATTAGTAACGAAGTTAAAGTGCCGGAGTTGATAACCCTACCCGTGTTACATCACCGTTTCTGTCCAGGAACCCCATGTGTTGGTCTCATTTTACAGACTTATTCACGTCTAAAAAAGTCACCTTGTGTGATTCCCCTTAGATCCAACCATTTTCGAGGAAGGCCGTAGGAAGCACTCTAAAACATGTATATAAAATTCTGCCTCATATTTTCGTCTCGGACATGCCGGGCATGTTTGTCCATTATTGTACATCCAGCATTGTAGGAGCATAAGAATACTAAGAGGAAAACAGGCTTACGCATCAGGCACAAGGTCCATAAGGGCTCGAACTCTACCCCTGATTTATACAACTCTGGCATCTGTCGTGTATGGGAGTTGCATACCTTTAGGCGTTACAAGTTTTGGTTAGTAGTACAGTGGAGTGGTAGGAAGTTGAGCGGCTCGTAACATCGAGGTTTTGAGAGCTGAAGTGGGAGAAGTTAAGTGGGGATGAAACAGTGCCAGAATGTAAGGGCGGGGAAACGGGAGATCCCTGAGAAAAGCCGCCGACCAGCGGCATCGTCCGGCACGATTCCCAGAACCGTGAGCGACCCCGCCGGGAATCGAACCCGGTTCGCTTATGTGGGAGGCGAGTAGTTTAACCACTACACCACCGCAACCTCTTTTTGGTTAGTGAATTCGCGAATCCGTCCAAAAAAATGGAAAATTTCTAAAAATAAAAACAAGAATAAAAATGGGTCGTGGCTGTGTTGGGGACACGGTCGTTTGTTTTGTGTGAATACGTCTACGTTGACGCGCTCGGACGCCTTGATTTTTTTTGCGTTCCCCATACGGCTTCACTCGATCATATGGGGTTTCATGGGTATCACTGGATTGCTTTTGAGATGCTCTTTCCAACTGTATACGATTTCTGTATTTCGACTTGACTTTTTGACAGGTATGGGCCAAGATTGTGTTAAGTTAACTTAATTTTTTTCCATTAAACGCATACAATTTCACCATAACCACGCCACACAGATTGATCTTGACGAGAGCTGTCGATTGTAACCCAAACGAGCGTCGTAACTTCTCCTAGTCAAAAGTTATACGCGGAAGTTATGAAACGCCGCAAAAACAACTCAAAATTGTAGCGCCTCCTCCCCCTCCCCCTCTCAAAGCCACACGCGATGCTTCGCAATCCTCATTCGACCTAACCTAGTCTTTGATATTTGGGCAATCACGTGGTGTGATTGAATTTTGAATGTAGACGATAGATTCGGAGCTGCAATGCCAAACACTACCCCCGATTTTGTTATCACCGAATTTTCTGGGTAGCCTCCCACTATGGTTGCAAATTGAAAGACATATTCTCGTCAAAAATTAATTTTTTTCTCTCGTTTCATTGGCCGAGACGAGAAAGGAAGGTGATGTTAATCTAAACCCCACACCTCGAACCTACTTACTTTTGATCATACTAACAAGTTCGCTGCCTGTGAGTCCTGCCGTTTGCATCTTTGTCAGAGCAGCATATCTGACACGAGAGCACGGCAGAGGCTTTATCCACGTGCTCTCATAAATAAAGGAAATCAGAACGTTTGCATATGAGTGAACACGTGAAAGAGAAATCCTTCAGACCTGCAATTACGTTCTCGGAAAGAAGAATGACTGAACAAACAGTATTCCCTTAACAATTTCAGAATCCGTATCTTTTTGTAGTTAGCATAGTCAATCCTGTAGAGCTGTTGCATGCTACGAAGTACATATCCTCAGGACCTGGTTAAATGAAAGTGATACACTTCACAATAATTTCGTAAATAAATAACAATTGTGAATTACTTTTGTATTACCTTCTTACGCTTTCTTACATGACTTAACTTACATCAGGACATATAATGCAAAATCTGTTGTGATACTAAAATAGAAAAATCCCAAACTACGCCTTTTGCCCCGTGCCATGTAACCAAGTGCAGAACCAAAACAGAATGTTTGAATATAGTCTATTCACAGTAGTTTGGCACTTTTTGAATCAAACATTTGGAAAATCACCCCATGTAGGACATGTTTGGTTGTTTCTTAAATATGTAATGTATCGTAAGCATTTATACGTCTATTAACATAGTAACTTATTTTTGGTTAAATTGAAAATTTACCGATATTTTATCTTTTAATTATATTATTTTATTTATAATTAACATGAACAAAAACAAGGAGAAAATAGGTTTGCTGGCATTGCCTAGCAAGAAATAGTTCTCGTGCAAAATATCATTAAGTTGATTGCGCACTCATGCGGCGTGTTGTCCGTCTGGTGCAATTTCCTACACTTTGCGAAGCTGCGTTTACGCGAGGCAGAGGGTTAGCCTGAAAGTAGGACTTCAGCAGGGCTTCAGAATAGTTTTAACTAACTGTGAATGGACTCTGTATGCTGCATGGTATGTTAGCGCCGAAGCACTTCACTCCAGGTTACAATAAATAACTGCGAGTCGCCCGGAGCCGTCCTTTCTGCAGCCTGAAGAAAAGTGGAAAACGACTAATTTTTGTCGTCCCAAATTGCTTCGGAGACGTATTAAACTTGGAATACATCCACGGAAAGAACAATCGCCCTTGGAACAATTATCATGTCGTCCCCAGCGGCGCAATTGGTTAGCGCACGGTACTTGTAACACAGTTTCCGAGCTATGCCGGTGTCGTGAGTTCGAGCCTCACTTCGTGAACATGGTTTTTTTTTTTACATCACCACGGCGATGCTCGCACTGGAACTGAAGACAAATACGCACATAAAATGCTCGTAAAATGTTCTACAGAATGAGGCTCACAAACCTACCTTTTATTTTTTTTTAAGGTGTTTAATTGAGCAGTGTTTTATGGAAGGCCAAATCGAGCCTTTTCAAGAGAATTCTCAAGATATTCAGGCGGAAGTCCCGACTAATCAAATCTAAGCAACAATTTTAAAAGATATGTATTATGAAAACGGGAGTATCCACAAGGAAACATATTAATTTCTCCCCTCGTGGAATTTCACTACTGCAGATGTGACGAAAAAAATATAATATTCGGAAGCTGGCGTAACAATTCCAGAAAAGTACGACTGTGTAAATGGGAGGAAGGAGACGAAAACGGACCACTTATATAACAATGCATTTAGCCACAAATCTAAAAATGATCGGCGGGACACTTGCGATCATTAAAAAATGCCCGTAGAGCCCAAAAAATATCGCCTAAAGAAGCAATGTCTTCAGTCAGTATTCGCTGCAAAATATATAATCTATAATGAAGAGGTAAAGCGATAAGTACGAGGAACTCCAGTATTATTGTTTGATTTGAAAGATACCAAACCTGCCCAAAAGCAGAAATAATGAATTTTCTTCTGAAACAGAACGTGTACAAACTGACTGACATATTATTAGCTAATAAAGAGGTTTTTTTTTTTTAAATATGCAACAAGGGTACGATTGGCGGGAGTGGCAACGACGTAGATAGTGGAAGAGAATTAAAAAAAAAAAAAAAAAAAAAAACAGTTGTGAAGGAAATCCTTGAGTAACAGAACTTATACTTGGGAGAGATTTTTCACATGCTTGCAATGGAAGACAATCCGTAGCGAGAAAGAATTTAATAATACTACTTATAAATAATTAAAAATTATTTGAAAATCATTCACAGAACTTGGGATGTTTCCAAAAACAAAACTGCCCAAAATCGTAAGAAAAATCAAGTGTGACAAACTCGAGTCTTTCAAGAGCATGTTCAAGTTTGTGTCTGATCCTGATAAATCTTTAAAATACTATTAAGGGTGTAGGGGAAGAATTTAACTTGGGAGGGGGCAAAATAAATATGACTATAAAAGAAATCTCAGCAAGATGTGTGCACATTCGTTGAAATCATATGTTTTGTCTTTCAAAGTTAACTTTAAAAAATAATGAGAAATAACTTTTTTGAAATATCACATTATGAATCTAATGGCACACGTCACAATGTATACTTCAATCTGCGATTTAAAAATAAACGCATGTATGAAGGCCTACATTGATTACTGATTACATTAAATTTGAGCTACTTGTTTCACAAAACTAACGTTCTACTGCATACACTTTCGAAACATTGAACCAGCAACATGACCCCTCATAATTTAAGAATTATTTATAAACGTAATTTCCCGGAGAAGGTTTTTGTAAATACCGATGTATGAGACTCTAAAGTAAATTTTATGTAAGTTTTAATGAAATTAAAAAAGAAGTAAATTCTTATTATTCGTTAAGCGCAATACTTTAAAAACATCATAATAGTGTATTGGTTAGTAGGTGTCTTCTGCAATTGTATTACTTAATAAAATATAGACAAATGACTGCCCCGAAGTCATAGATTTCAGAAACAGCGTTAAGAATCTTAAAAATATGCGTGCGCTTTGTTTTATATAACAGAAGCATTCGAACATTTGCTTGTAAATATTTGTAACAACAATTTCAGAGTTGAACAAAATTTCTTCAAACCGCAATCGCTAGTGTTGACAAAACCCATATATATTCTTTGTATATATATATATATATACTGTATATATACTGTATAAATATATATACACATACTTCACCAATAGGTTTGTACCAGGGGGTGTAGCTCAGAGGTAGAGCGCCTGCTTCGCATGCAGGAAGCCCTGGGTTCGAATCCCAGTACCTCCACGTAACATTTTCCAAATATTTTATAAACATTTAGAGACACTGCGAAATACTGGAATAAACAGCTGGCGTTTTCTCTATACTGGTACGCAAAAAGTAGTTTTTAAACATTTTTGATATACTTTAGATATCTGTGTATAAAATGATGATTACGACTGAATGTCTCACTCACTCACTCATCAACGCACAAACAAAACCACTAGATGCAAAAACATGAAAAATTACAGTCTTCTCCTTAGAATGAAGGCACCCGATGAAAAGCGTTTCTTATTTATTATTATTATTCAATTTTTTTAAAAGAAATTCAACCCCTAAGAGGGCGAAAAGGAGTAAGATGTGTTTCCGATGAATCTATAGCTAATTAATACCGTACAACATCGTCATGATCGTTGTGTTATAAGGTTGACTATATGAATGCCCGATGAAATTAATTTCGGTATTTTTTAAAATTCAGCCTATAAGAGGGTGAAATGGGTTTGAGGGCTTCTAATAGCTCACTAAACCAATGATACGTCGTTACGCGCTTTGCTTAAAAATGTCACCTTTATAAACACCTAAATATAAATTTTAGAATTGTTTCAAATTCCACCTCTAAGGGGTAAAAATATGTTTTTTGAGGACTCCTCCTAAGAGAGGGAAAATGATTACAACTTGTTTTCGGAAACTACTCCATAGCTAACCCCTTCAAATATGGTTATGCTATTCGCTTTAAATGGTTGGCTATATAAACACTTAAAAATTAATTTCGGAATTTTTTGAAATTCAACCTCAAAGAGGGTTGAAAGGTGTAAAAGGTATTTTTGAGTACTACCATAGCTTATTAACTCAATAAGATATCGTTACGCCACTTGCTTAGAAAGGTATCCTACATAAATATCTAAAAAAATTATTTAAGGATTTTTCGAATATAAAGTGTTTACAAGGAATCCTTCAATACCTCATTGGCCTGGTAGAATATCGTTATGCCGTTTGCTTACAAAGGTTGACTGCACAAATGTCCAAAAACGAATTTCCGTACTTTTAAAAATTCGAGCCCCTATGAACGTGAAAATGTGTAAAACAGGTATTCAATTTTATATTACGGATGTTACATCGTTTTCATGCCTGTAACTTTCAAACTAGCATACTTGATAACATCCTGTATTACAAAACTACGAATACAAAGCTATTGTGTAACAAAAAAAATTAATTTCCTTTACAGTTGCAGACAATGTTAGAACTGAGCAGGATCAATAACAAGTATCACATCTTCATAAATTCCGCGGTACGTGAAATTCATCGCGATTATATATACGTACTTATTTCAGTTACACATCAGTGGCTAATAATTACGTACGTCATTTTAGATGGAAGGTTTATTGGTATGTAGTGCACATACAAGCTGAGCAATTCCCAATCTATGTGTTACAGTATTAATTAATTAATTGCAAACAGAACTGTCAGAACGCACAACAGGCGAGTCGCCTAGAGGACTGTCAAACTCACATGTCGTAAGAGTGGCGAGGACGTTTGTTTAGTTTTGGTTGTCTTACAAATCAGAGTTCTTGTTCACGAAAATGAAAACTTAACTTAACTAGAGCTTATACCAGATATAATCAAGAAAACTAAAACTTGTTTATCCAATGTTTAGTCTGTAGTTTTAATGTTAATCAGTAAATGGTTTTACAAAATAATGCCATACAAGAAGATGATACGAGGATTGAGCAACGTTGACAATTTAATAAATCCTTAGCAGAGTTTGCTTAATATTGTTACGCGCTCACTGCTTCGCTCGACCAGCGCGAGCGAGTGTAAGAGAAGGACAGAAAGTTGTTATATGATAGCGACATCTGCGGTGGTACAATGAAGAGTTTCGAATTATAGGCGCGCGCTGCGCACCTTGTTCTCTCAGCGCATCTCGGAGCGCGTTGAACCTTCCAGATGGTACGGCGCGACACTATAAATACTGTATTGCGACAGACCTCCGGGACGGGGAGTTGCGTTGGAGTTGATGAATGATCGAGTGGCTGAGTTCCGAGCGATAGAAGACGAGCAGTGGGAGAACCAGTGGACCAATGGAAGGGAAGTCTACGACTGGGGGTATCACGCAATGGAGTGTGCGGCTGGCAGGCTGAACTATTGGACTAAATGCATGAGTGAAATACATTATAAATAATGGCGACAGATAGACTGAACACGTGTTGATAATGAGTATGAATAAATTGACAGTAACCAACAGAGACATTTAAGAAGGACGTTAATTAGAGTTGAAATATACATGAAATATTGCACTCACTGTTAAATAGAAAGAGTAAAAGTCGAGACAGAAAATGTAATACTGTAAATAATAGCTGCGTGAATAAAGTACATAAGGCGGAAGAATACACAACGTGCATACAAGTAGATCTTAAGCAGGGTTTTCAAAAGTGTCCAGTTTACCATGAACCGTCTATAAGGGCATAACCACTAATGTGGTGTATAAAGACACCCTTCGCTAAAGAAAATAAATAGCTGTGCTCACATCATCTCCTAGAGCCGAACAGTGCACACGGTCCAGGTACGGCCAGCATTACACATGTGCCTTTGCAACAAATAAAGCATAAGTCACCTTTCTGCTGCGGACTTTGTAGGCGTTGTACATGGCATTCGGTGAAAATACGTTTTCAAAACCCAATATTTACATGCTCATATTTCCTTAAATATTCCGTTTAGATATACGGTTTCCTGTATATTTTCGACTTTATTTCTCATGAGGAATCACCTCCCGTAGTTTCGGCTCTTATTTTCGGTACATATTGTATAAAGCTTTCTGTCCGTGGCTTCGCCCGCGTGTGCTACATGAAGAACTAGTACACGCTCCATATCGCGCCAAATGGACGTGTCCCATTCGACCTTGTGGGGTGTACTAAGGGCACATCACCGCTATCCTAACCACTGGCAGAAAGTATAAGGTATTCAGCGAAAATACATTTTCAAAAATCCAATTTCCACAGGCTCATATCTCCTTTAATATTCCGTTGAGTTATATTGTGTTCTACATATTTTCGACATTATTTTTTTTTACAAGGAATCACCTCCCGTAGTTTGGACGTTTAATTTCCGAACATTCTGTATATAAAAAGTGCATTTGTGTTCACATTTCATTGGACAAAGATGGAGGAGGGACTGGTGAAAACAATCCACGGGCTCCAAATTTAATTTATTACTTATGGACTTCACATCCAGTTTGCTGTAGCTAATAAAAATCAACCATCTGGAACCATACAGCCAGACACATGGGTCACAAGAGATGATTTGGCTCTTTGTAGTAACACGTTTGCAGATTGCTGACTCATAAAGAGCGCAATTTGCTCAGTATGTAGTTACGTGGAAAAGCACGCTGAGATGAACCAGTTTTGGTGATAGTTCCAACATCAAGATCTTCTCAACTAGCAAGCCACGCGGGATAGGATGAATCGAAATGTTGCGTGCAATTCTGTACCGCCACGTTTGTTACAATATTGCAATGTCTACGAAATTGCTATTTCGTTATGGAGGACTAGGGTCGAGATATTTTTTCTACTGTTTGCAATTTGAGAAATGCAAATGTGAAATAATCATTGGGAAGACAATTGGCCATACTTCGTTGCCCAAAAAGTGCTCTATTTAGATCTTATAATCACAAAAACTACACAATTCATGAGCTTATGAAAATTTTTAGGTTCGCCAATGTCAGAAATTTATTTATTACTGTCAAACTGTTCCGTTATCTATCTATACGATACGAGTTACTGAATATTAATTCTTTACAAATAGAAGAGTTACGAGGTCTTACGTCCACTAGCCGGTGCATGGAATTAAATGTATAAGAAATATATATCTACATGTATGGGCTCTTTAAAGCGTCCTTATATTTAAGGCGAAATATCTTCTATGTGTAAGCAATGTACAAGTGAATACAGATATAACCACCAGAATGTCATAGTTGTCTTTACAACATTACGGGTACAACAGCTTCTGTCCAAGTTCATGTGGTCATGTGTTCATCATATGAGTATTCCTTGAAGAGTTCAGTTCTGAGCCAGTGACCCATCCTCAATGACACTGCGATCCGACACGAAGTCGTAGCAGAACAATTAATGCAGTGTTGCCGAGGAAGTCGTCGAGCGAACAATCAAATTAGAGGCTCATCTCCATTGTGGCGTCACTGCTTGTGCCGGCAGCTTGCCGACATATGGTGACAGATACTACATCTCTACTTCCTTCAGCGGAAAACTCAATAGGATTTCAAAGTTTTATCAGCCTCAGTCACAACGCAATTGAAATCACTGTAGGCAGTGAAAAAAATGGGATTCTTTGTAAACTAATTGGGATTTTATGAAGGAAGCTGAAGAACTTCTAGTTTCGGTGTCACCAGCTTCAATAGAGCTGAACACGGAACAGAACATGTATGACACAGCGTCGTGGAATGTGTGGAGCGAAGAGATTTGGGCGACTCTTAACATCGAGGTGTTGAGAGCCGACGTGGGGTGAAGCGAGGTGAGTATGGAGCAGCGCCGGAATGAAATGGAGGGGGGAAACGGGAGATCCCCGAGAAACCCCACCGACCAGCGACATCGCCCGGCAAGATTCTCAAGTGCGTAAATCCGGGGGTGACCCAACCGGAAATCGAGCCCGGTTCGCACGGATTGGAGCAGAGTAGTCTGACCACTACACCATCCGAAGCCAGCCCAGCGTCGTGCGGTGTTCATTGTTGTAAAGGGCGAGTAGTTTAAAAGAGGCCCCATGGGACATTTGTGTAACGGAGCGAGGAAATGAGGAAATACAGTCCAGTGTGACAACAAAATACCTAGAGTAGGTGCTGGAAGTGGCCGCCATTGACCTTGAAGCAGGTGTGCAGACGACACCAAGTTGTGAAAGTCACGGGTGAGGACTTGCTGCGGGATGGCATTGATAGCTGTGATAATATTGGCCTGGAGTTCTTAGGGATGTTGATATCGAAAAATACATCGATATCTATCGAAACGATATACTTTTAATACATC